CACCTCGATCCAATTGATGAAGAACACTCTGAAGGAGATGAAGATGAAGAGTACACTCGTCAGAAAGGTGACCTCCGCGATCATCTCAACAAAAAGAGAAGCTCATCCCTTCAGAAAGGACGATCTCCATCTTGCTCGCACAAGAATTCCAACCAGCAAGCCGAATCTTCTTACAACCCGATAACGCTCGAAGGAGTGATCACAAGGGAGGAGTTCGACCAGCTTAAGAGCAAGTTCAATGCTCAGGTTGAGGCCTTGAAGGCTAGGTGCGAGAAGAAAGAAAGCTAGTTCGATGATGGCGACCTGGGAGAATCGCCATTCACGTCGGACATCTTGGAGGCTCCAATCCCTCAAAAGTTCAAAACTCCCACCATGAAGCCTTATGATAGGTCTAAAGACCCAAAAGACTATGTTGAGGTCTTCGAAGGCCTCATGGACTTTCAAGCGGCAACAGATGCAATCAAGTTCCGCGCTTTTCAGATCGCGCTCACTGGCAGCACGCGCCTGTGGTATCAAAGACTGCCGGCTGGGTCGATCTCGACCTACTCCCAGCTGAGGAAAGAATTTATTAGTCAATTCTCTTATCGGAACTATGATAGAAAAACAGCGACTCACCTTGCCACCATCAGACAGAAAGAATGTGAGACGTTGAGGGAATATGTCAAGGTTCCAGGAGGAGCAGCTGAAGGTCGTGCACTGCTCCGATGACTCGGCCAAGTGCTACTTTTTCACCGGCCTAGCCGATGAGACCTTAACTGTGAAGCTCGGAGAAGAAGCTTCAGCCACTTTCGCCGAAGTCCTGCAAAAAGCTAAAAAAGTCATTGACGGGCAGGAACTTCTCCGAAAAAAAACTGGCCGACTTGAGAAGCAGATTGACCAGAAAAAGACCAGCCAAGAGAAAAGGAGGGCTGAGTCCAAGTCTAAGGACAAGGGGTCATCCTCCTCTAGTGGCCGAGCAGAATATCTATGGTCAGATAACGGCCCCAGCCGGAGCCGACCTTATGAACGCTATACTCCGACCACCATCACAATCTCTGAAATACTTACAAATATTGAAGAGACTGGGATGGAGAAGCTCCTCAAGCGACCGAAGAAGCTCCGAGGAGACCTAGAGAAGCGCAACAAAGATAAGTATTGCCATTTTCATCGTGATCACGGTCATAACACATCAAGTTGCTGGGAACTTAAGCGCCAGATTGAAGACCTCATTCAAGATGGCTAMTTCAAAAAGTTCGTTGGCAAATCGAGGTCCAATTTGGTGGAAAAGAAAGAAGAGAGGAAACGTTCGAGGACGCCACCTCGCCAAGATGACCGACCTGCGGTCATCAACACCATTTTCGGAGGCACAAGTGGGGGCCAATCCGAGAATAAAAGAAAAGAGCTAGCTCGCGAATCCAGGCGCCAGGTGTGCATCATTAGGGAGCAGAGACCGACCTCCTCCAT